ACATCCTAAGAAGCAAGGACACAGACACAGGACACGAACACGATACAACACAAATACGCTGATATGCCAAATTCTAAAAATGGACACAGACATAGCGTGGACATATAATATTCATATATATACACACATATATATATATAAACTTTAATTAATTTACAATTTCTATACTAAATTTACATAAGAAAACACCATCATATTACAGAGGTGACCTGTTCTCTTCTAATTGGGATGGGAGTGCCTAAAAATTATTGTGCTGATGCTATCTTAACAACTACATACCTTGTCAATCGCAAGCCTTCTATGGTTCTTGGCTATAAATCCCTCTTCTCTGTCTTACACCATGACACTGCCTTGTTTATTGCCCCTCCGAAAATGTTTGGTTGTGTTTGTTATGTTCACATTCATCATCGCAAGGACAAAATGGACCCTAAGGCAATCTGATGGGTCTTTCTTGGATACTCCGCCACTCAGAAAGGGTATCGGTGTTATAACCCTACCACTTGTCGTCGCTTTGTCTCCATGGATGTTACATTCTTTGAGTATGATCCTTCTTTTTTTTTTTTTTCACTGTTCGGGATTCTTTACAGGGGGAGACTACTATACAAGTAGAGAATCCGTTGTCCATTCAGAGGAAATGCCCCCTTCCTTTGCCTGTTCCCATTTAGGGGGAGGTTCCCATTCAGGGGGACCTTCTTACTGAGGTGCTTATGTCTAGTCCTCCCATCAGTAATGATTTGCAGCAGGGTAAACAACCAATTATCTACACTAGGAGGGTAAAACAAGTTATTAACTCACCCCAGGACCAAGAAGTCTCCCTCGATCCAGGTAATTTCTTAGTTGACATTGATACTCCTGATTCTTCCCAATAGCATTCCTGTTAATCTTGATGTCCTTATTGCCTATCGTAAGGGTGTTCGTAGTTGTACAAAACATCCCATATCTTAGTTTGTATCATATGATGCCTTATCTCCAGCATATCGTGCTTTCACTTCGTGTATCTCCTCTGTATGTTCCTTCTGGTGTTTCAGATGCTCTCAGTCAAACTCCATCGAAGAAAGCTATGTTTGAAGAAATGAAGGCCCTTGATAAGAATGGTACTTGGGATATTGTTCCATTACCTAGGGGTAAGAAACTAGTAGGCTGCAAATGGGTTTACATAATAAAGTATCATGCAAACAGAACAATTGAGAGATATAAAGCTCGGTTAGTTGCAAAGGGCTTCACTCAGACTTATGGAATTGATTATCTGGAAACATTTGCTCCAGTTGCTGAGATGAACTTTATACGTGTTCTTCTTTCTTTGGCAACTAATTTGAATTGGCCCTTACATCTGCTGGATGTAAAGAATGCTTTCCTTCACGGTGACTTGGCGGAAGAGGTGTATATGAACATGCCACCAGGGTTTAAGCTTGCCAATGGTCAGAATTCAGTGTGTAAGCTAAATAAAGCCTTGTATGGGATAAAGCAGTCGCCACGTGCTTGGTTTGAGAGGTTCAGCACTGCTGTGAAAAGAGTAGGGTACACATAGAGTCAGACAGATCATACTTTCTTCATCAAGAAGCACCAGGGCTGCACCACTGCCCTTATTTTATATGTTGATGATATTGTTATCACTGGAAATGATCCAGAAGAGATTCATTGAATGAAGTCATTCTTGGGGACAGAGTTCAAGGTTAAAGACCTCGGATCATTGAGATACTTTCTTGGCATCGAGGTATGTAGATCGAAGAAAGGGGTGTTTATTTCTCAATGGAAGTATGTGTTAGATTTGTTAGCTGAAACAGGTAGCCTTGGACCTAGACATATTGATATTCCCATTGAGCAAAACCATAGGCTTAATGGTGTAGATGGAGACCCATTAGATGATGTGGGAGGACTTCAGCGATTGGTTGGGAGACTGATTTACTTATCTCTCATGTGCCTGGATATTGCCTACGCTATTAGTGTGATTAGTCAGTTTATGCATGCTCCACGTACACCTCACCTTGAGTTAGCGAAGTACATGTCGCTACCTCAAGGGTTCACCTGGTAAGGGGATATTGCCACTTGTGTGTTGAAGCCTATACTGATGTTGATTGGGCAGGGTCTGTGACAGATCGATGATTTACTTCAGGATATTGCACATTTGTTAGAGGTAATCTTGTTTCACGGCGAAGTAAGAAACAGTTTGTACTAGCTATATCTAGTGCAGAGGCTGAGTTCAGATCTATGGCACATAGAGTTTGTGAGTTGTTATGGCTACGTACGATGTTGGGTGAGTTGGGTTATCCTGTTCGCGAGTCAATGAAGTTGTATTGTGACAACAAGGCTGCTATTAGCATTGCCCACAATCCAGTTCAACATGACAGGACAAAGCACATTGAAGTCGATCGACACTTCATCATGGAAAAGCTTCGTTTTGGGTTGATTTGTACTCCATACGTCAACACACATGATCAAGTTGCCGATGTTTTGACTAAGGGTGTGAGCAAGACTTACTTGGAAAATATGTTAGTCAGGACATGATAGATATCTTTGCACCGAGGGGGAGTGTTGTCAGGGGCTTATTTGTTATTACTTATATAATGTTGGGGCTTATGTATAATTTCTGAAACTTGTTATTACAAATAGAATGTGGTGGAAGGATGAAAGTATTCTTTTCATTCTCTCTCTCTTTCCCCATCTCTCTCTCTTTTTCTCTCATTCGCTTTCTTCTCTTTTTCTTCTTCTTTATCACTTAATCTTGATTTGATTATATCTTAAAGTCAACAAGAGTAATTCACCCTTAAAAAATGTGAGGGTAAAAATGTTAATCGAATTAGTAATTCCACACCGTTAATTTGATCGACTCTGACAAGGGGTTTTAGAGTTATTTTTGCAAAAGTTTCATCGAAGGCTGATTTGCTAAAGCCTCAGAGGATGTCAGAGTAGTTCACCGTTATATTTTATTAATGATTGCAAAAAAAAAAAAAAATAATAATAGTAATAATATAACTGGTGATATTAAACTTAGCTCAACTCAATATAGCCTTTTCCAACTACTTGGGGTTGGCTACATGGATCTTTTTTTCCCATTCGAACCTATCTGAGGCCATAGCTTGAATCATACCACACGCTATAATATCCTTTCTTATTAACCCTACCCATATTAACTTTAGTCTTTCCTTTACCTTAGCATTACCTACAATGTGGACCATTTGACTCTTCTCAACTAGCCCATTTAGTTGTCTTGTTTGCACATGTCCAAATCATATTAATAAATTTTCTCATTTTTTCTCCAATTGGTACTACTTCAACCCTCTCATGAATGAGTTAATTTCTGATTCTATCCTTTCTCGTCTGACCACAAATCTATCTTAACATTTTGTATTTCAGTTACACCTCACTTTATCCATATGTTGTTTCTGAATTGCCGAACATTCTGTCTCCATCGTGCCGTGATTCAATTAACAGCATTTCAAATTTCTCCGTCATTATGATAATTGAGCTTAAATAATGGAAATGTCACTTTTTTGTTTGACCCTGGATCTTCACTACATCTCTATTTGTTTTTCTAGATTTGCTAAAGTTACACTCCATATATTCAATTTTATTCTTACTTATCTTAAACCCTTTTAATTCTAGAATTTCCCACCAAACGTCCAATTTAGCACTTACTCATTCTCTAGTTTCATCAATTAAAGCAGTATCATTACCAATTAACATACACAACGAAATTTCATCCTGGATGTGTCTCAACAGTTCATCAATTACTAAGGCAAATAACTAAGGTAAAAAGATAGGGTCTTAATGTGGATCCTTGTACTATGATATTAGAAAAGGAAAATAGTTCTTCTTCCCTCATTTCATATAAAAAGCTGAAATAATTGAAATCAAACAAAATTACAAAAAAAGGCAAGAGAAAGAAAAACTGGTACAATTATGACCCTCTAGTTCTTTTCTGAAGCTTTGTTTGTCAATCTTCATATCTGTACTGGTATGCCCTCCCTTGGAAGATGGTTTGGCGTTCGAAGGCTCCTCTTAGAGTGGCTTTTTTTGTTTGGATTGCAGTTTGGGGCAAGATCTTGATGATGGATAACCTGAGATGGAGAAGGCAGGTTACAGGTGCTGCATGTGTAAGAGGGATGGGGAGTCAGTGGATCACCTTCTCCTTCATTGCCATGTTGCTCAAGACTGTTGGAATCTTATTTTTGGATTGTTCGGCATCCATTGGGTTATGCCTCGGTCTTTGAAGGGTTTGATCTTGGAGAGGCTGCTTAGTGGGAGCCCATGCTTGTGATTTTTGGAGGGTGGCCCCCTTTGATGTTTGGTGGTGCATTTGGAAGGAGGGGAATAGAAGATCTTTTGAACGGGAGGAATCTCCTATTAGGGCTTTGAAATTTCTTATTATTAGCTCTCTTTTTAGTTGGGTGTTGGGGACAAATTGTAAGTCTGTAAAGGAGTTTATTGATCTTTTGGGTTCCTTGGGTCCTTAGGACCTCTTTTTTGGCTTCGGCCCTTGTATAGCTTTTGGGATACGGTCCCCATTTGATATCTTTCTAATATATTCTCACTTATTAAAATATATATATATGTATATATAGCTCTATATATGTCTATACTGGTATGCCCTAGCTGAAATTTTCAGATAAATCTCTCTCTCTCTCTCTCTCTCTCTCTATATATATATATATATGTCAAACTTCATTTTTCCCCCATTTTTTCCGTCCTTGCATAATATAGAAGGAAATTCCTGTGAAGAAGGAAATCAAAGTTGCACCTACCATTTGAGCTTAAGACAAAAGCAATATGATGAGTATAAAATAGTAGAATTGGAAAAAAGTTGTATTCTGCAGTCATAGAAAATAGGTAGCCACTTGTACTTCTGCAAATACGTGATATGATATGAAAAATGATAAGGAAAATACAAAATCAATACTATTTACGGTTGAAGGTGTTGCATCCAGGCTTTATCTTTAATTTCATTGTTGTTTCCAAACTACTTGGGGGGTAGATTTCAATATTGTGTTTTTCTTGTGCAGATGGTTCGAGTGGGATGCAACTAATAGCACTGATGGTCATAAATTGGGTCTAAAAGATTCTGAAAATGTTCTCAATCAACTTGAAGATATTGGACTACAATTAGCATTGACTTTTAACAATGAGGGTTCTTTACTTGCAGTTGGCAGCGAGGTAGATCATTTATCACTATATTCTGTTATACTTGAATGCATTTGCCGCATGAAATATAAGAAAAACATCTTTTAACATGAGAAAGAAATACTAAACCAAATTGCCGTCTTCATGTTTGTTTTTACATGATGGGAATTTTCTCCTATAAAATAGTTATTTGAAGCATCTGGTGGATGAAAGTTCACAAAATTTGTCTTGTAACAAAAGAGGGGAATTCTTGCTTGTACGTTTTGTCCATGCTCAAGGCAGTGTAACATTCTGTGTTAGGGTCCCTTTATTGCCATAATTTAGAATTCTACACCTGTTCAGAAATTTCTTTAGGCTATTATAGGGCTTCATCGAAATTTTTTCATAGGCTACCTGTGCTATGATTACCAAGAAATAAAAAAACCCACACTTAGGGAAACAGGGACTTCAATAATTTGCAGTTACAGATAATTTCTTGGACACCTTCTTTAATTGTAAGAACCATTCACATTGCAGGTGTTTCTAGTCAGTACCTCATATGATCTATTCTTTTCAAAGAAAATGGTATAGTCATGTAAAAAATTTGAACCAACTGGAGACAAATTCGAGTTGTTGATTTTGGAAGTTTTATATAGTCACTCTCTTGCATCATTTTCCAAATTTAAAAGGAATAGGAAGTCGTCAAATAAAGATGTATGAATGTGTGTACCCACAGTTACATATAAATTTCGTCTTTCCTACACGACACAAACCTTTGCACCTTCCAAGGAGAAGTGTTTCCCACCTGCATTCCATAATTTTTACATAATCATTACTGCATCATGGTGCTAGAAACCCAAGTTAACCACTGCAGTAGAGCTTCAGATTGTTTGGATTTTATAAACATATATGAATAGCTTCCTTCTTGCTAAAGTTAAAAGCCTTACTTCTGTCAATGATATTTGGAATATCATGAAGTACCAACTAGGGGAAAAAAAAAAAAAAAAAAAAAAAAAAAAAGAATATCATGAAGTAAGATTTTAGCAGCTTGTACTTATCAAAAAAAAAAAAAAAAATGGAATTTAGCAGCTTGTAGATATCTTTTTTTGGAAACACAAAATTATGTCCAAAAAAAAAAAAGTAGAGCAAGTATATATATATATACATATATATGATTAGCTTCCTTCTTACTAAAAGTTAAAAGCCTTACCTCTGTCCATGATATTTGGAGTATTTGAAAAATACTTATTTATTTATTTATTTTATTTTTGTTAAAACAGAATTTTGTGTTTCCAAATGAAGATATCTACAAGCTGCTGAATTATTGCTTCTTGATATTCACAGAGCCATTTCATTCATATTGTGGGCCATGACATATCAATATGTGACATTCAGATATCAAGAGAACTGGCCTTTTGTTAATTGTATCTTATGTTTCTTTATCTGAGTTGTGCTTGTTTAGGTTGGTGGGAGGGGAGTATGGTGAATTTTAAGTTGTAATTTGTTTATTAGCATTCATTGTAAATAATAAGAACAAAGGTTTTTCCTTCTTTTTTTTTTCTCCCTATTTTTTTTTTATTATTCAAAACTCAAATGCTAATAAATTCCTCTGAGCAATAGATCTGATTATGAAACTTGGATTGACAAAACGTGACAAATGGATTGCCAAGATGACAAGACATGTAAACTTTAGATGAGTCATTATGATATGATATGCGGAATGCTTAAAAATTGAGAAATGATCCTTCAGAAGAATGACACGTCATATGGTCCATGACACAGGATTGGTAACATATGCAAGTATGCAATTGACTTCCCAAAGTAAATGTGGCCAGCCATAGAAAGTGACACAAGGCCGCAGTTCTGTTGCTCTATTTTAAGGAATATACTACCACACTTAATAACGCTTGAAGAAGTTCCTCAATCAACTTGACATTGAAATTGGTGGCAATTGTCGCGGGGGGGGGGGGGGGGGCCCTTGAGCTTGGTGTGACTACAGTAATTCATGGCATTGCGTTGTATTATTGCAGTAGTGATGCAATCTTTTCCTCATTACCCTATAATTAGTGTGATTTATGACTTGTGTTCCTGTCATACAATTGTGATTTACCCCCTTCTGCAATGCATTGTAAACTTCCGGAATTACGATGCATTTGACAATGCGTTGTAATCATACAGTTGCGTATTTGTGAAATATGCGATGCATAGTAAAAGCCATTACTAGGTGCTTGTCCCGCCAATACATTATAGGAGAGTAAGATAAGAAAATAATTAATCTTTGGATTAACTTTTTATGAAGTGGCTGCTCTTAGACTCAAACCTTCATTTGACACTAGACAACTCTAGGTTTTGCCAATTGCACCAAGCAATGGACCCTAATATACCAGAACTAGCAAATAAATAATGAATCAATATTACGTTGTACTCCTTCTATCCCAAAATAAGTGTCATGCTTTCCTTTTTTGTCTGTCCCAAAATAATAGTCCACTTTCCTTTTTCAAATAATATATTTCACATCTTTCCATATATGTCCTTTGAGTTTAAAATTTCAAACTTGAATATTCAAAACTTAAAAGGGCAAGTTAGTAACTTTCCAGGGAGACAATGCATGTCCCACATGTTTCCTTAAAAATTACTACTCCCCATAAGCGACGCTTAAATTGGGACGGAGGGAGTATTAAATTGGAGATGACTATATTCCCCTCAATTATAGTGTATTCGATAGTACTTAGAAAAAATATATATATAGTGTATTCGATATTGTACTGTAATCTTACAGGTGCAATGTACCTCATCTACAGTGCTTTTGATCCCAGTGATTACAATGTGATTACTTACATATCATGGTAGTATTCCTATTGCAATGTTCCCCAATTAGCAATATCATGAGCTTAATAACTATGATGCAGTTCTTTGGCATTTTGTTGGAATCCTCGCAGCCATAGTGTGAGTGCACACATGTTATGACCGCAATCTTGGTGCTCTATTGCTGTATTGTGGTCTCGTAGTTATAGGGCCATTATATGCTGCATCTTTGATTCTTATTTTGGGGTATTTGGGTTTTCTTGGTTTGGTGACTTTAGTCAAGGTTTAAGCAAGGTTGCTCACGGTGTCTCCTGCAATATAAATATGGAGTAACACATAATGACTTGAATTGCATCTCAGCCACATTATTGGGGGAAGAACATGCTTCTATCGGATTTGTCAGAAGAATCCTGACAAATTGGCATGTGCAAATACATCTATTGATACTGGATGCTATCCAGGTACGATCAGTCAACAAGACAAAGGCACAAGCAAACTACCTTTGTCTCCAGATACTGCCTTGTTTCTATTGCTTCCCATTTGATGTCTTACCTTAAACTTGATTCTTAACCACAAGAAAAGTCTCTTTCACCAGATTGTAGAGTTAATTCATGCTATTACCAAACCCCGTGCCTACAGAATACAGCAACTTTCAGCTACAGCCTGTGGTTCTTTACTCTAAGTTAAGTAGGACACAGAAAAAGGGACTACTAGAAAACTACAACAAATAAGATGCAGATATATTTTATCAGACTGAAGAGGCTTATTTAATTAGTCATTATATCTCCTGCTGCTCTTCATTTGATTTTTCCTTTTTCTTTCAAATTATTTGAGATAGAGACAGTATTATGTTGTAAGCTTATGTATGATTCCTATCACTCTATGTATTAGCTGAATCCAGATTGCATATTATAATAATTGAGCACCATGTCAGACTTCTGTTTTACCATACTAAAGAGGCTTGTGAGTTTTGACTTGTCCATACATTATTTTGTTGGTCAATATATTCTGTTTTTCTTTCTTAAAAGTTGCACATCTTCCAAAGAACAACCTTTATATGGTTTACTCTTGGTTAACCATCTTCCACCTGGTACAAGAATTTCCCATAATGCAGATACAGGATCTCCTCCATAAAAGGGAAAACCTTTTTTGCATTGCAGGACTGAAGTTTCTGTAGCTGTATGCTTACCTTTTACAATATGCATTATACAATTATGCTAATTAGTATTTTGTATAATGATTCGATTTTCGGTGCAGTACAGGATGGCAAGTTGAGGGTTTTCAAGTGGCCTAGCATGGAAATTATTATTGATCAGGCTGATGCTCATTCATCTGTGAAGGATTTGGATTTCAGGTTCAAAATAGTAGCTGTAGTTAAATTTGAACTTCCAATCCTGCAAGCTCAAGAATCCTTCAATTTTTATAATTTGTCTGATGGTTTATTACCTCTTGCAGTCCTGATGGGAAATTTCTTGTTTCGCTGGGAAGTGGTGTACCTGGTAGGGTTTGGGATGTAACATCATCAACATCTGTAGCTTCTTTACAAAAGGAAAATGTAAGAACCATTTTTAATGTAACATAAGTGAAAAACAATTTATATACAGGTTTTCTGTGGGGAAGCACGAATCTCGGCCTAATATGTTTATGCAGGATATCCCTGCCATTTTTTTGGGTAAGGACTGCGTTGTATGGCGTTAACTTGCAAGCATGATATCCTAACCATATGATCCTTGAAAATGAAGGAAGGAAGAAGAAGCGTATTAATGTTTTGATGAATAACCTGTAATTCCTAATGGGATGATTGTGACCCCAAATACCGGTTGTGTTTAACTAAAATGGATTTATTCATCTTTTCAAGAATTCCTTTCTCTTCATGCAACTATTCATTGACACTGATTTTTTAACTAACTATATTTGTTTTTTGTTTCCAGGATGAGGTTTTTGGTTTCTGCAGATTCTCACAAACTAATGGCAATAGTCTGGTTCTATATGTCACTTCAATGCGAGGTAGATATGTAGTAATGCATGCCTTCCTCTTTTTTCCTTCCAACTAATGTGCCTTCTACCATACTGTCATGTGATTCAACTATAATGGACCCTCTTCAACTTTCATAGATCGAGGTGGAAGTATAATAAAATGGAATCCTACCTCATGGACGAGGATGAGCTCAAAGCACATAGTCAAAGACCCAGTTTCCGCCTTCGCTGTTTCGACTGATGGGAAGCTTCTTGCAGTGTAAGAATTTGACAGTTAACAGTTTCAAGTGCTTATAATAAGAAAAAACACATTCATTAAAAGAGTGATCGAAATGAAAATGTTGAGATTGATGTGTGTTAAGACAAGAAATCATAAAATTAAGAAATGAGTTCATTCGTGAGACAGTTATTTTTTTTCCTCATTCGTGAGACAGTTAATGTAACACCAATTGAAGATCAAATGAGAGGAAATAGACTAAGATGGTTTGGCCATGTGAAAGCTAAGACCAATAATTGCAAGAGCAAGGAAGAGTGAGGTTGACCATAAACCATATCGCGGGTAATGTTAGGATAAGGGGAAAACTAAAACGAACATGGGTTGGGGTAGTAAATGAAGGTATGTATGATAACATGTGGTTTGACTGATATTATGGTCCAAGACAAAGCAAAATGCCGAAACATTATTCATGTAGCCTACCCGAAAAAATTGAAAAAAGGCTTTGTTGAGTTGAGTTTGATAGTATCAGGTACTTTAGGCATGGGTTCTGGTCTACCCCTAGAGATATGTATGTGGGTACTAAGAGATGGGGTTTAAACTCACAAAAATGACTAAATGACCTACCTAAGAAATCTATAATTTAGTACATCTCTAGTGTAAAGATTATATTAGATGCCAGATTAACTATTATCTCAATCGGAAAAGGTAGTTTGGTGAAGTTATGATGAAAATAAGTACAATGATCAGATACTTGTTATTCCAGTCATCTCTGATTTATTTCTGTTGAAAATAGAGAATATATATACATTTTTTTGATAAGTAAAGATTTATAAAAAGCTCTCAAAAGGGGAGCAAATCCCAAAGAAACACACAAGGTCAAAAAACTCCTCAAGCCTTCAAAGAGGTCAAAAAAACAACAATCTCCTCTACAAATCTATAATCACTCCCTGAAACCCAACAAAAAAGAGAGAATATATGAAAACATATATATTATTGTGTTAATCATACAATAATACAATGGGGTTTATATAGGAGAAGTAGGTGAGTGGAGAACAAGTAAACCCTATATATGGTAATGCTATACATGGTAATGAGTGGTAGGTGAAGGCAGCTACAGAATATAGAAAACTCTAGTAAACCCTTGTATACAATGTAATCTAACTGTACACACGTGAGTGTGACTGTTCATAATACACACGTGACAGCCTATGTTACCTGAACTCGTCAGTTTAGCTCAGGGTGTCCGTGTCAACATGACACAACATGGACACCGACACGAAAGATGGGTCGGACACCCTTTGCTTCTATCGGAAACTGTTGATGAAGACATGCTTGCTTCTTTTTGTTAGATTGAAGGCTGCTGGTTCAAAATTAGGGCTTTTTAAGGTTGAAGATGGTTGTTTTCATCATGCGCGGCTGTTACACGATTTTTTATTTTATCCGAGACTGCTATCACGCCACTTCAGAGACTTGTCATCTCTCTATTTATCAATGTTCTGAAGTGTGGCAGATGAATGGTCATTTTTACTGCCACGTTTTCTTTGTTTCTGTGGGCCTTATCACATTGAGCCCAGTGTAGTTACTTTTTATTTTTTATTTTTTACTTTTACATTTACTTCGTATCTTTTTTACTCCCAGGAGACTACAGCTGCTTGCTTGCTTTTCGTATCTTTTTTACACAGTACTTTTTTTTATTTATTTTTTTTACTTTACATTTACAATACTTCTTACCCTTCTGACTCCCACAAGATTACAATTACTGGCTTTCCTTGTAAATAACCATCCACTTTACCAACTAAAGATAAATGACACGTATATATCTCTTTTTTCTTTTTTCTTTTTTTTGTAGAGAGAGTAGGACACAATGTCTCCTCTTGATGTAGAAATACTTAAGACTCTTAAATAATAGATCAATAGGATATACTTTTATTATTGTTTAATAATTAAGACGTGTCCAAGTGTCCGTGTCCAATTTGTGGACACTTTTTAGCCGAATCCCCATGTCCTGTAATTTGAAAGACTATGGATTCGACCTCTAGACACATACCCGTGTCCGACACTCGTACCTTAGTTTGGGTAACATAGGTGACAGCTCATACTATACTATACAACAGTCTTTGAGCTTCCTGTATTATCTCAAACAAATAGTGAAAAGCTTCCTCTCTTATGGCATGTGGGGGTGGGAGGATGGATGACGAGAGTCACATTGCTGTCTTATAATGAATATCTAAAATGTTCACAGTTTAGGAATGGTTGCATGCTTTCTGGGTATTTCATGTTTCTGTTTCATGTTTCTGAATGTTGCACATTTTTGTTAGTCACATGATCTAACACACTTCTTTATCACAAGACTCACAGTCAATTTCTTTCCCAGAATTTTCATTTCAATTGACTATTTCCTTTGCCTTTCTTCCCTATTTGTGATTTGTGAACTTGCAGAGGGACAACTCAAGGTGACATATTAATATTAAATTCCACTAGTATGCGGGTGCAGGCCATAGTTAGAAAAGCACATCTTGGCATTGTAACAGCATTGATGTTTTCTGAAGATTCAAGGTTGTTCTTCCGACTTATTTACATTATGTCTTCATTCATTAATGCTTATGCTGCAGTGTGGCTTTGTTCTTTAAGAATTATTATTTGATTATTTGGTTTGTATTCAAACACAGGGCTTTGGTATCCGCATCCTTTGATTCAAGTGCAAGGGTGACGCAAATTAAGGACGAAAAGAAAAATGGTATGTACCTCTCGTAATCTTCTGATACTTGTGAAATAACATGAGCATACATCTGCCATTATTACACTAGCAACGGGTTGCCTGCAAACCAGCTACAGGCTAGAACTGGTTCTAGGCTATAACTTGAGGTCCATCATCTGTGCCAGCAATATAACCAACCAAATGTTAGACCAAAGTTGGGCATAATTGAACATAGAAGACAGCTATGGTACTATTCTTAGTGAGCCTAGCTATAGTACTATTCTTAGTGAGCGTAGCTATAGTACTATGATGTACTAATCAATCTGCTAAACCTAAGTATTATAAGTTGTAGGGTAAATTGCAGAAACGCCCCTCAACTGTCACAATCTTGCATATAATCCCTTGGCATTGCAAATAATTTGACTTGTTGATTTTGTGCAAATGAGGCCACAACTTCAGGTTTCTGTTACTAATAATGAGAAGTTACGAATTTGACCTTCTTTTTTATTTAAATAGAAAAGGGGTAAAAATTTAGAATGCATGAAATTCCAAATACACTAATAACAAACTATGGATGCAAACCAGTTTCTTCTTCTCTCCTTCCTTTTCCTTTTCTAATTTTTCTCTCATGTCCACACCATCTCCCATCATAATCATAATATCCTTCCTTGCATTTTTACAGCAATTACTGCCTTCTATAAGTTCAAAACCATCATCAACATCTCATCGTTGCAGATTTGGTCCTCATCAGTCAGTCTTGACTTGTCAGATTTGCCCATGGCTACTGAAATTTTGGTGCACACTTGGGATGATCTTGAATCTGTCTCCTTTCATTTTTGGAACAATTTACTTTCTTTCGAGACATATCCACTCCTCCAATTCACAGAATAAGGGTAGGGTCAATATGTGGGTCAGATCGGTGGTTTCAACCATAAAAGAGTGACTTGGCTAATTTGGTGAGTGATTTCTTAGAAAATTGTAATGCATAATGGTGAGTGGGTCTAATTGGCTATTATGGTGATGATGGTCGTTTTGGCAGTCACTCTGGCCATTTCCAGTGACCACACCCACTTCAATCTTGACCAAACTAACAATCCTTGAAGCACTCGTGTGAACAACTCATTTCTGTTGTGTGTGAGAGAAGGTGGGTTAGTTGTACAGTTTTAGCTATTGAGAAAATAGAGACAAAGTATTGAGGTGGTTTATTTCTTTGCATTTCATATTTGGGTGCTTGTTTTAGAGAAGGGAGGAATCACTTGTTTACCAACTTAGTTGATGTGAAGGCTTGATAGATTTAATTATTTTTCAAGTTATATGTGTATATGTTTATATATGTCATAAGCCCAATTGTCTTTACCGCCATTGGAGAACATTTTAAGAATTCTTTACTTTAATAGAAAAAATAAACAAATTTATACCGATAATGGGGAACTCAGGGTACAATCAGTGACGGAAATCAATTTTCAACAGGAACTTGATTCTGATACATATTATCTCCATATTTCACCATTGTTTCACTCGTATTTGCTTTGGGTGTTTTACTAAATGTTTCCAACAAAATTTCCCATGCGGCTTTCATTTTAGAAAAGAAATTTTATGTATATGGTCCATGGTAGGTTTATAATGACAATCTTTCTTTCGACTTTCCTTTAATGCTAACTATGATCACAATTTCAAATCTTTTAGGACTGCACTATTCTGTCCTAATAGATGGAAGGCTGTTGTTTTGCTTGGAATATCCCAACCGGTTGTCATGTTTTTTCTATATATATATATTTTTTGGCAGGATCGAGCATGTGGATCATTTTGTTCATCCTCCTACTTGCAGTAGCTGTATATTATGCAAAGAACGAAGGAATGCTTCCTTGGTGACTACTGTTCTTACCAAAAAATTTGTGAAATATTACCTAAGTAAGTTGTACACTAATAAAGTTCATAAAGGAGAGAGCGAGATTTCGTTACAGGTTGATTATTCTACTATTGTACTTTGTTTTTATCTTTTTTGTACTCGGATCAGCGAGGCTTGTTGCTAGGGGATAGAAGTGTGGACTTGTTATCAAGGATGGATGTAGTCGGTGTTCAGACTCGAACCCATTGTTATCCCCCACCCCAATACCCCTTAATGGAAGCTATGTTTTTGGTTAAAATTTATTAAATGGGAATATATGCTTATTCATTAACTTAGATTTTTTATAATAGCAAATATGTTGTCATTAACAGGTTTCCACAGGTGCTTATTGTTTCAAGTCTAGGATGAATTATATTTGGTAAGGTATATTGTCTGCTTTTCTATGCTGAACAATTTTGTTGGACAATATCAAGTGAATATCATTTTAAACTTTTTTTTATTATATTATATTTAGCTTAAAAGTGAAGTTAAAGGGACACATTGGGCAACTCTGATACTTTTATAATTTAGCTTTACTGTACAAGGTGGGATTGTGTTATTTTCACTCTTTGTTTGGTTAGATAAAAAGGAAGACAATCAATTCACAATTTAGTACCTAAAGGAAAGGATACACAAATCTTTCTGCGATAAATCAGATTTAGATTAGTTATCTCATGTGGTCAGACAGTCTTTAACTTTTAACTCTTGTGTGTGTGTATATATATATATATAGATTAATGATCTCTTGTTCCCTGTGAAGCAAGAAGATTCTTGCGCATTTTCTATAAATCTAATGGTCACATTCCAAATTCAGCTATATGATTTTCTTTTAATATAAAACCACTATAATTATTTATAATTTCTATATTTAATATTTACTAATACCACTAATTACAACAATAATAGGTAGGTACTAAACAAATAAAAATTTAAATCTCCTCACCTCTAGAAGTAATCCGAATTTTTGTTTTCTTTGATTTCTTTGTTGTTACTTTATATATTAGTTGCCTTCATACTTTTTTTACTTACAAAAAAAAAAATAAATAAATAATGGTAGTGAAAATAAAAAAATAATGATAGTATATTAATAACTGTCGTGAATCTCTTCATTACGTCAATAAATTTTTGTTACTATTGTAGAACTAGAATAAATATATTGTGTTTACAATTAGTTAAAATCTGGAATAAAATAAAACGAAATTAATAAGATATATGAGACAATCTGTGACAAAGGGGTCAGATAAAAATAGATTGAATTTCTAATTTTTAAATAACATGCATTTATGGTGGTATACAACCATTTAAATTGTAATCTATTAATTTTTTTATGGATTTATTTTTAATTTTTTATTATTTTCTAGAAAATCACGTCTCACACTTAAACAAATAGGCAATAGTATCAAGATGCAATTTTTTAACACTTATAAATTTTTTTAAAGAAAAATAATTCCGATTAGTGGTGAGACCTGATTTGGAGAGGTGAAGCAATTTATATTTGTATGGAGCAGTTAGGATTAGTTAGTTTTAAATGTATTAATTACTTTGACTTTCTATTTTTATGGGACTCTACTAACATTACTTTTTAGACAAAAAAATACCTTTTCAAATTATTCCTTTCTTCTTTTCTCCTCTTTTAATCTATTCATATGGAGATGTGTGCATATGCATGTATGTATGTATCTATATATAATAATAATAATAATAATAATAATACTAAATAATGTGATGTGAATGAATGCTGAAAAAAAAAAAAAAGGAGAGAGAGAGAGAAAAAAAGGAAGAAAAAAGAACAAGATAGATTCTGAGATTTAAAAAAGATATATATAAAATTAGTTTTATATACGTATATATTTCTTTTTTTGTGAATGAATTATTTCCTTTTCTTTTATTTCATTTTTTTCTTAAAATCCATTTATAGACAAATAGTTGTAAAAATAAAAAATAAAAACAAAAAAGAAACATATATATATATATATATATAGGAAAAAACAAAAAAGGAAGAAATATATAATCGATTTTTTTTTAATTTTTTTTTTTTACCTTTCTTTTTATTTTTTATTTTTTATTTTTTATTTTTTATTTTTTATTTTTTCTGAATCCATCCATATCTTGTGAATGAATTATTCTATCTATATATATATTTTTTCCTTTTTCAGAATACATTTAGGAACCACACATCCTTGATTAAAAGAGGAGAGAAGAAGAAATATTAGATATTTTAAAATGGTATTTTTGTTTACGAAGTACTGTTAGTAGAGTCCCATAAAAATAAAAAGTCAAAGTAATTAATACATTTAAAACAAATCAATCCTAGCTGCGACTGTGAATGAATAGTTGCTTGCGCGACTACAATTAACACTGCTCATTTTTATTTGTTTGGTATCTATCTTTTATTATTGTAATTAGTATTATTGATAAATATTAAATTTAGAAACTAGATGTAGTGATAATGATTTTGTATTAAAAAGAAATTATATAGGTGGGTTTGGAATATGACCATTAGATTTAATTTAATGGTCATTTTAGAAAGTGCAGAAGAATTTTCTTATTCCACAAAAAACAAGAGATCATTACTCTCTCTATATATATGTTGATGAGTTTAGTTTAACACACTTTTTAATTATATATGCACCAAACCATATAAGTCTTCATTGGCAATGAAGAAAGTCCGAGTCCACCCTGGGGTCATACTTTGGGGTCATACTTTGATGCACGATTCTCCACCGAAAACGCTCCACCACCACCACCCGTCACCGCTACACAACCTCAGGGGTCATACTTTGATTCTCCGCTGAAAATGCTCCACCACCACCACCCGTCACCGCTACACACCCTCGGGGGTCATACTTTGATGCACGATTCTCAGCCGAAAACTCTCCACCACCACCACCACCACCACCCATCACCGCTACACACCCGACGGCAAAGCAGAATGTAAGTTCCTTCATTTTTGTAGTACTTTTTACTAGGCTAATATTGTTGATATGCTATTGACAATTCCCCAAATTTGGGCCACATCCTCCAAAGTTCCAAGTGAACTTGGTTTCAGTCTCTCCATTCAATGTCTCCGCTGATGCAATTGAGCGGTTGTGGAACATAAGTTTTGACATCCAAAACCCTAACAAAAATGATGGAAGGATATTCTACGAAGAAATGGAGGCTTCGGTTTTCTACAAACAAGTTAACGTATCATCCACAGCTATCCCACCTTTCTATCAGTACGAGAATGATCGGAGGTCGCTAGAGGTGGGTGTGATCTCACCATCAATCCTGTCCGTGACCAACCTCAATATTGCGAATTTCACTAGGACCATAGATGGTTTTGTGAGGATTAATTGGAATGGAAGAGGAGGAGATAGGCAAATGTTGAGGGTCACTTGTGAGGACGTGAAGGTGGGATTTTCGGATAAAACAACCGCAGAAACAATGTTTGGTGAATCTAAGGAATGGAAGGTCCATTGTAAGATAGATTTTTAGAATTTATTTCTTCCTTAGAAAGCTCATTTATTACCGAGCTTAATTAATTTTTATGTTAACGATTTCGTCAAATTTATGTTCTATAATGTTAATCAGAGAAATATTGTTTTATTCAATTGGCAAAAATTGAGTGTCACTTGTGAAGACACAACAACAACAGAACAATGTTAGTCTAGTCCAGAAAATGCAAGGTCCATTGTAAAAACATACTTTTCAAAGTTATTTATACCTTCTAAAAAGGAAGGTCTTAACATACAAACCTGATCTCTTCTCCTCTCTAAAAAAGCATCTCTTTTTTGTCTCTCTAATCAAATCCCAAGACTCAAATAACTGGCTTTCTAGTACGATGCTTCAAAACCATGTTGACTACAATATATACCACTAATTAAAAAAACCCAATTAAACCTTTAAATTAATCTTCTACTATGATAAACAGCTTAATTTATTTTTATTTTTATTATTATTATTATTTTTTTTCGGGTAAATAAATTATGATAAAGAGCAAAACTGTGTTTATCAGGTACTGTGTTCAATTAATCATATCAATCCTGACCATTCTCAGTCATACATGAGAGTAAAATACCGTACCGAAAACCCTCCACCACCACCAATACCACCATGCTCCGCCGCCAACACAGGCTCGAATCCTTACAAACGATGCAGCAAACCCATCCCTTCTGAATGTTTTTGTATTGTTGCAACAATCTTAGGTTCATCTCCAATTCTACAATTGTGGTGGGGAGGTTATTGGGTGGGTCAAAAAAGTACCATGTTCGTGTAAGATATAATTAATTGTGGCTTTTGAATTAGGTTTAATTCACAATTGTAAGAGGTTGTGGTTAATTCACAATTGTAAGCATCCAATCTGGCTTTGAATCCCTTAAAAGCCGCTCTTCTTCATAATAATTGAAGAGGGGTGGTTTAATTTAGTGGGTGACAATGCTCATTTCAAAGATGGCAATGTTCATTTCAAACTCAATATCTTCTACAACATTTTGCTTACGTACTCAAAAGTTTAGCACAATGATATATATAATGATAATTGTTTATTTAAAATTTAACATGTCTACTATCTTAAAAAAATAATAATAATAAATTTTCTCTGTTTATATTTTGAATTTAAAATAAGTATGCATTATTATATAAATTTAAACGAACCTGATTTGTGAAGACTTCTTAGGTTCGGTTATTGGGCTTGCATCTTGGGCCTATGTTTTAACTTTCCGCTCTCACTCGGCTAACCTTTGGGGTCTATGGTTGCTTGGCCCTGTGATAAATTTAGGCAATTTTTTTTTTTTTTTCCTCTCTTTGCATATATAATAACTTCTTTCGTTTTCATAAATTTTAAAAAGAATAAATAAATAAATAAATAAAATTACGAACTATGACTGGCTTGTACAAGCGTGTGCATCCACAAACAAACTGAACTCGTCACTCAAGAATAGCTTCTATCTATTCTAAAAATTTCAAATAAATTTTTTATTTATTTTTCGAGAAGTAAATTTTCAAATAATTTAGTTCTATCACAATTATTTTTTCAATCAATTTATTCACTCTATCAATTACTACAGTTATATATGCACTAAATATTCATGTATAAATACACGTAAAAAATTAGAGCATAGAGTATCCAATCACTATGTTTTATCACAGTTTGGCTTGACATAAACTTGTTAAATAAGGAGCAAAGCATTATATGACAAGTAATCTTTAACTTGATGAATTCAGAACAAATAAAATATTTTTCTTATAATAGTTGTAGACGGGGCGGAGGGCACACCCTGGCTGGCCCACCTAGTACAAGATATAGTAATTTTTTAATTTATTTTTATATTTATAAAAAAGTTTTTATATAATGTCCCCCTCAAATTTTTAAATTTTAAAATTATCTTCTAAATTTTTCTTTTGCTCTTAATATTAATCTTTTGATTTTCTTAAAAAAAAAAAGATTAAATTTTCCTTTTTTACTCAAACTCTAATATTTTTTCCTTTCAAAGTTTTCATTTTCCCCCCTTTTTCTTTCTTTTTCCCCCTACTTAAGATTCTTGTTTTTGCACTTAAGAATGATGTATATAGTATATAATTTTTTTTGTTCTTCTTAGTATGTAAGTTTTTTTACACCTAAATTAAAATCAAAATCGAGTCTAAAGAAATAAGCGGTGTAACTATGCGATAACCCAAAAAGATTAAGTTATTAGGTGGTGCTAACATCCAATCCATTTATACTAATTTCCCTTTTCATGTGAGTCCCATAATATGCTACGGTCATATTACCATGGTTGCTTCGTGACAAAAAATTTAAGTTATTGGGTGGGACTAATTAATACCCGGCCTATTTATAAACATTTTTCTTTCATCCAGATCTGTTGTAGAACATGTAACAACCAGCCACTTGGGCCCAAAAATACAATTGTAAATAGTCATACAATCACCTTTTCTTTTGCTGTTCTTGCCATTCTCCTCTTGGAATGAGTTGGTTGCTTGGGCATGTATCATTTTTTTTTTTTTTTTCTAGTTGGGTACTCACACACACATGCCTTCATGAAGGTTCGAACTTCTGACCTCTTTTTGAGAAGTAGGAGCTTGGTACCGTTAGGCTACTGGCCTGTTGGTCTTGGGCATGCATCATTGGAAGAACAGAGTCACAGGTTGGTAGAATTTTCAAGAAGAAAAGGATTTCAGCAAATTCACTCCTCTCCAAAATCACTGAATCAATCAGATTGAAACTGACCCTAGAGTGAAAATAAAGATATCTAACACATGTTTTTCCTAATATCTAAAGATAGACTGTGAGTTAAGGCACAATCCGTCTTTTTTATGATGTCAATTTAAGATATTTTGCTGGTCACTCCTTTCCAAAATCATTGATTTTTATGATGTCAATTTAAGATATTTTGCTGGTCATGTTTGCTGCTTTCAATTGGGGCTCCTTTAGGTCTGGGCTTGTAATTTCTATTTGGGGCTGGGTCTATCTGTATATATATGTTCAAATACTAGCCATCCTCGGGCTTTTGTAATTATCTTTTTATGTATATGTTCATATCCTAGTCATCCTCGGGCTTTTGTAATTCTCTTTTTATTTATGAAATTAACCTTTACCTTTCAAAAGAAAAAAAAAAAAAAAAAAACAAGGGCCAACAAGAAGACCAGTTGACCAGATTTATTAAATGGTTGCTGAAAGTGTCACTTTGGTGAAGGGAGGTTTTCTTGAATGAAGGTGCTCATTTCATATTGAATATCTTTCTTTGTAAATAATATAATAATAGAAAAGAAGAAGAAAAGTATAGGTCTTCCGACCTCAATTACCTCCTCCTCATCCGAATACAACGTGGTTGGGAATGAGTCGAAAAGAAAAAGATCTTTACGAGATTTTTTTTTAAGAGTTTCAATGTGATCCAATCAAGTTGTATTCGAAAGAGAAGTCGACAATTGAGGTTATAAAGCTTATCGTTTCTCAAAGAAGAAACAAGGAAATTGATAGTAAAATGGTCATTTTGTTGTATTTTATTTTATTTTTGTCAATAATTTAGAATGCCTTATCCTTCTAATGCTCACGTGTAGTTATCCTCCCACATAAACAAAAAGATATTAAGTGAGTGCAACAAGTTATTGATATGCCCAACTAATTATCATGCATCATTTTAATTGGTTAAGCGTTTTTTAAGTAAGTGAAACTAATTTTATTGAAATGTGCTTTGTAAATATTGGTTGGGCATCAGCTCACCCAATATTTATTCCACATCCACCAAACAATTCCCTTTAGATGGCCGCAACTACTTTATTTTACTCTAGGTTTTCTCTCCCTTCAACTATTTTCTGTCCTACAAATTTGCTTAACGTATCATGATCTTTTATCATTTCCCATTTACTTTTAATTTTAAAAGCTATTGTTAGCTTCTTCAAAACAAACGTCTTAACACAAACATCTTTTTCCATCTATAATTATCTCTTCTTTCTCTCTCTAAGCAAAATCCAATCCTTAAAAAAGAATATTGATCAAATAGCATGTTTTTAAAATTTTAAGAATACACATATGACATATGATATATATACACAACTATATTCGCTAGAGGTTTTCCCAAAGCAAAAAAAAAAAAAAAAAAAAAAATTAATTTGTCTCCAAACAAATTAAATTGCATCTACCACATAACAATGTGTATTTTCTTTTTTCCCCAATACACACATACTCTAATATATAAAAAAGGTGACCCATCAGTTTAGAACTACTGTCTTCAATTATATATCTATATATATATATATATATATATATATATATGTCTTCAAAAATGGAATATGTTGACCATACTCAGTCATATATTGGAGTAATCCCTTACCCACCAGCCAAAACAGGCACCAATCCTGAAGGATGATGCAAATTACCCACTGTTTACACCCTTATTTTCGCCCATGGAAAAGCAGACACGTGGATGGAGTTTTGGGTCAAGCCAATTTTTGACATATGAAAGGAGTTTGGGTTAAGACCAATTTCAGGGACTTTGACAGTTGAGTTAGTATGGAAGTCCACCACAGGAGAAGCCACGTTTGAACAAGATGACTTGATCAAAGGAACGTGTCAATTATTGGAGTTTTAGACGTGGAAATTAGAGTTCCTAAAATGTGGAAATTGGTTTTCTTCAAAAGTCACGATACAACAAAACACCAAGCGTTTTAACGTGGGCCACTACCACCACCATCAGGAGTAATGGCCATTGTTCAAACAAAGGAAATCGTGCGATTTTTTTTAAGATAACGGCATCAAAGGGCACGATTGCATGTTTGATTGCATGTTTGGAACGTTAGAGCTCTAGAAGCATTAAAGCACAATCACATGATGACACGATTGCATGGGAGCTCCAGACATGATTGGAACGTGGAAAAGGAACGTGGAAGCTCTAGAAGAATCAGGAAGGCACGATTGCATGGCTTGGACACTTGGAAGCATTTGGAGGCATTATTGGAACTGTTATTATTAATTGATTGTATTTTTCATTCTATAAATAGGTCATTATGTTGTAACGTAATAGGCCTGCTCAACGTCAAACAATTACGCATTTCAATACAATCTTCATTTTTCGCAATGCACTTTCAATATGATTAGTCTCAGTCCTGCGCTTTACTTTTCATTAGATAATTCCTTTACTTTCATAAGTAACGTATTTCTTCCTAACTAGTTAACTTTCCCGAA